CCAAAACCATTTTCATAGTTGTTTGTGGCATTTATAAGAAGTGGCAGAATAAGCCTCCTTAGGGTTTGCAAAAGGTTGTGCGATAGGTAGGAATCTTGGAGTGTCTTCCTTGTCTAGAAAACTGACTGAAGTGCTGAAACTTGGCCACGCAGAGAATGCTCTTACACGTCCCTAACTGCCAGCCGGCTCTCTGTTTTTTTCAAAATAAAGTTCTGTCCTGGTGAGAGGTACTGTCACCCTCTGTCACACCCTTCCACTCCACACATCTGTCTGAGGGCATCAAGTCAGCTGGAATGATTTGGTAAAAAACCGGACTAACTGTGCTCTAACTTCCATTCTGGAAGTTGCCTCTCTCCTGTTGCTGGGTATGGTACAGATCTCATCTTTGGCTGTTCTGTCCTCTGTTTTCTGTGCTCTTAAAGCTTTGTTTTAAGTGTGGATGAAGTGGAGTTTACTTTGTGTGTGTGTGTGTGTATGGGGAAGAGAAGTTTAACTTGAACCAAATACATATATTGTGTCTGAAAATGGCTTAAATAAGAATAGGCTCATTTATCCATACTTTCTTTAGAGTTAACATCTGTGCACGAAGGGGAGGAGATACATCATGCATTTGCACTGTAAAATTAGCCACAAATGACCCATGCCTTTCAAACTTTTTCAAAAGAGGAGGTGGACAAATAAGAAATACCAGGTTACTGCATCCCGGAGGCCATCAAAATGGCAAAATGTCCTTGTCCGTTGACAGTCACTGCTCGGTCTGTGAAGATCCAGGCAAGAGCTTTGTGGTTTTTATCATACAGTGGTTTTCTGTGTCTGTGGTGACGTTACACGGAGCAGTTTGGTCACTCTTCAGCCTTGTGCAACCTGCTGCTAGATCTGAGCGTGGTAATGAGCCCATTGGCAATGCCACTGGATGTGTGCTCCATTTCCATTATCCTGAAGAGAATACTGCTTATCAGACACCTATCAGCATCCGCCCTTCACATGCTAAGAGGGCAGAGAGGAGTTATTTCTGGCTATAGCACTATGGCTTTTTGCGTAGGGTTCCCATTACTGACCATCTGTCTGAATTGTCTTGTGATGGGAGCTGTGCATTAACACATTCAGACTTGGGAAGTGGTGGAGCTGCATTCATTTTACTCCCTTGTAGGAGCATAAGAAAGCACTGGGATGCAAGAGTGACCTGCCTAAATGTACTTGCCTGAAAATCTTCCAAATTGGTCTGCTCAGGGATGCACTTACTATGTAGTTGACACTGATTTCAGTATCCTGAAGAACTTAAAATACGAAAGGAGGTGGTGATGGGAATGGCTACATAATTTTGGGGAAGTGCTGTATATTTATTGACCCCAGGTCATGCTTATTTTAGCAGTCTTGCACCCACCAGGTTCTAATACTCTCCAGTAGTTTAATGCCGAGCTGTCTGGTTTTAATGCCCCGTAGGCTGAGCACAGGTTGCCATCTGGGAGAAATGTTATTGCTTTTATCTAAAGTAGTTCACTTTTTCTTCTGATTCTCTTTCTAATAAATTACCTTTATGTCTTTTTAAATGCTTCTTCCCCTAGAACAAATCCCTCCTACTTGTACAACTGCAATTTTTTACTGAAACATCATAAAGCTCCCATTTGGGAGCCACCCAATTATATCTTACAATAATTCTATTGAATGATCTATAGCTCCACTTTTATTCCTTATTAGTATTTGGCTGATCGATGGGTAACCTAATTGATTGTTAAGGTCAAATGTCTTTATTGGCTGATGCCTGAATCTTTTCTCATTACAACTTAAAAAACAAGTTCTATGGTCAGTTAGAGTTCTTGTACTCATTTTTGCTCAGCAGAACAATAAAACTTCATGGTGTAGGTGCTGGTGAATGAAATACGTATGCAGCGTTTTGTGTATCTTCACGTCCAGTATTAAATGGATGTAGAGGTATCTGGGTTGAGCAGAACTGCAGTAAGAAACCCTTGATCATGGAGAAGAGAAGGCTCCGGGGAGACCTTATAGCAGCTTCCAGTGCCCGAAGGGGGCTACAAGGAAACTGGAAGGGGCACTTTTGACAAGGGCCTGTAGTGACAGGACGAGGGGTAACAGGTTTAGATTGAAAACAGGTGGATATAGATTGGATATAAGGAAGGAATTCTTCCTGGAGAGGGTGGGGAGCCACTGGGACAGGTTGCCCAGAGAAACTGTGGATGCCCCATCCCTGGAATTGTTCAAGGCCAGGCTGGATGAGGCTTGGAGGAACCTGGTCTAGTGGAAGGTGTCCCTGCCCATGGCTAGGTGGGCTTTAAGGTCCCTTCCAATCCACATCATTCTGTGATTCTATGGGGTTTTAAGTTTTTCTGTCAATAAGGTAGCTGTAATGTGAAATCAATTATTTGCTTTTATGACAGCTTAATCATTTCTATGTGTACAATTGCAGCACCTTAACTGCTGTCATTTTGGCTTGTGATGCTTACTGAGGTGTGGGCAAGATTAATGTGTGGTGCAGTACAGAAACAGAATCCTTGTAGTTGCCTTACGTTTTGCTAAACTTCCTTTCTGGTGTTGCAGTTCACTGTGACTAGTTGATCTATGTTTAGAAAGGTACAGGTATGCTGTAACAACTTGGTATCTTAACGAAGCGTAGCCTCACAGAGCCTCAGGGTAGAAAATACTGGAGCAGTGTCAAGAGTCAGTAGAGAGTCCCAATGGAATGGGGGTGTGCTTTTTCACCTGAGGTTTGAGATAGTAATCTGTTACAAGCTTCACATTTACCTCTGATTTTTCATGTATGTTAATATATTTTTAGGCTGGCATCTCACTTGTCATTCACTAGTGTCCTTCTGCCTTTCCCCATTGCAACTGTTTCTGTCATCTAAGCATTTGCTGCATCTGGCAGGATGGATATTGATTCATTCTGCTTTACTTAAGATGCTTGTAACTGCATTACTTGGCCAAGACTCCCATATAGTTGATGAAGCTGCTTAATTCATTCATAAAATTCCCTATTTTAAAAGTCTACTTTAGGATGAGCAGAATTGCACACTGGACTCTATTTGCTATAATGAGACCGTGGGCTAATGATGCTGGATGGTATTTGTGGATAAAGCTAACTCCCGGTGATGAGGTCACTGAGATCCAAGGCTATTTGTCACTGACTTTTTTTGTCTGTGTGTGTCTCTATTTTTTTTAAATCTGATTCCTGCCAAGTGTAAAAAAACCAAAACAAAAGCAAAACCACCCACCCAATACCTGGTTCCACAAAGGGGGCACTAGAATTGGAGGCTGTTCCAGTTTTGTTTCCTAATCCCTAGGTACTCTCTAAGGCACATTTTCTTTAGCTTTGTGTCTTCTGTCACCTGAAAATGTAGTTCTCTGGTTTTTAGCTCCCTAAGCAATTGGTTTTCTTACTGCTTCTGAGGGCAGATGAGCAGGGCTGTATCACCTTCTTGAATTTAACATCTATATTATGCTCAAATGATAGGCATATCAGAGTGAGATTATATGTCTTTTAGCTCTGGGTTCCACAGAGTGGAATCTGAGCCAGATGCTTCATATATATGAGTTAGTTATCTGCATGCCTGTACTGGAACAAGAGTGTTGTACAGTTACCGAAGTACAGCTAGTGTAGGTATACCTTTACTCCGGACAAGCAGGTCAAGATTAAGGTTTATGTTGGAATAACCCTGGATATAATGGTCTGATTTTTAATCTCTTTTTTTAGAGTTGTACTTTATAGTAGTTTCCTTTTCCTTCTCTAGGAAAAAGCACTCTTACTGACTGCCATAAATCAACATTTTATAAAAAGTTAACAGCTGTCCTACTGAAATCAGTATAACTTCTGGTTACCAAGCTATTAGATTTTCCCAAATGGAAAATGTAATTTTCCATGGGAAATGTACATTTTTCCCAAATGGAAAGTGTGGCTTTTTCGTACTAGGTGACTGGGTATCTTAATTTTTTTTTTTCTTTCTTAAGTCCTGCTCTGTATGTGTCAAGCTGTATGAAGATAGAGATAATGCAAACAAAACTATCTCCAAAGTTTTCTTTTTCGATGAAACAACCTAGTGTGATTTCTCCTGGAAGCCCATCGAAATGTTTTATTGCCACAACTTGTATTAAAGGAAACAGCAAACTACTCCTGATTGCCTTGGGTCAGATTGTTCACAAATAGGCAGTCGCATATAGCTGGGAAGATAGTTAATACTGAGCCGTATCGGTGCAGTAGCTTGCATGAGCCCTTGAATATCAAAGAGTTGGGAATGGGCCTGTTTTGTGTTCAAAACATTATTGAAGGGAGTTTGGTAGTCTTATAGCTGTCTTTTAAGCTTGTAAGATTAATGGCTCTCATACTTTTCTACTTCTTTGTGGAAAAGTTTATTCATAGGCTTGAAGAAAGTGTCTCCCTGCTTTTTAGTTCATAACCAGGCTTGCAAATAATTCATCTGATTTAACCTCAATGAAGAAAATATTATTTTCACATCTGCTTGTTTAAACAAAATAGGGAGAAGTTGAGGCAAAATCTTTCTAATGGTAAAATCTATAGAAGAATTGATATTTAGGATGTTGTAAATGCTTTGTTGGGTGAACTATGCATCTGAAAATGCTTGATTCATTATGGGGGAGGAGGTTACCCTTGGTCCCATATGAATAAACCCCAGCGTTTTATGACTTTACTATTTAGGTGTCAGTCCCATTTCCCCCTGCTTTCCCCTCCTCATTTTACTTTATAAAGGCATATTCCTTTAGAAAAATGCATTTATCATATACTGTATGTGTTTTAATTTTCAAAAGATTCCACTAATTGCAAAGTTGTTTAATAAGACTAATTTTTAAAGGCGCTCTAGTGTTCTGTGCTAAAATTTGAAACATGGTTAACCCACAAGAAAACACTCCAACTGCTTTATAGAAAAAAGAAAACAAATCAACTAGAGCACTGCATTGTGCAGTTGGCTCTGTAATTAGGAATATGTTGTGTTCTGTTAACATTTAATTTTGTTTTCCTTTAATTGTAGTTAATGATGAAGAACTAAAGAAAAGAATAGCTGAAGAACTGGCATTAGAACGAGCCAGGAGAGACTCTGAAGCTCAAAAGAGAAGGTTGGTTTGTTAATAACTATTTAAAACAAACATGTACTTAATGCTTTTATTACTGTAATTTATCTACTTACTATGAACAGTTGAATTTAGTGCCCCAAGGCAAAATGGTAGGTAAGACCTTTAGGTGACAGAGCAGATTTTTATATTAAGTACATGGTAGAACAACAACAAATTAACTGCTATTTCCTTGTAAGAGCTGATATAAAATGTTGATCTAAATTCCCTTCGACCTCATAAGCTTGACTTTTTCTTGCAGTCTTTTGAGCTCAATCTGTCTTGATTTCTCATGGGTCCAAACGCTCACTTTGTGGTGCAGAGATAGAAATAGCTTGAGAGCATTGCAGAGGTGGGTTACTTGTAACCCCTCTGTTTGATCAGAAGGTAAATTTTAACAGCAGTAGAAATGGTAATTCTTGCTATTTCTGTCAGTTGTAAATATTTCTGTGAGCTGTAGTATGTTCAGAATTGCTTTCATAGTTGGTACAGCGCAGTGCTTTGAAGATACAAAGTAGTGTATTAAAACAGTTTACTTGTAGAAAACCCTTTTGATATCCTTTGTGGGTATTGAAACATGACTGTCTCACGCACCTCCTCGCAGAGGCACTGGTGACTCTGAAAGACTGGGTAGAGTTGTATGGAATGCAGCGGCGGATTTTGGATGCAGCAATAGAAAAATACGCTCTGCAATGTTTACTGTGGTCCTGTGGGATTATTAACAATTTAGAAAATTCCTGTTGGTATTTGAAATCGAGTTTGGCTGTATGGTGAACTTGGTGGACTTGTGTGTTAATTTGTACTTTCAGTGATTTTTTTCCTAAATAGATAATATGACACACTGAATATAAATAATAATCTACGCGTTGTCCTGCAATCTGAAAATGGGAAGAAAGGCTCATTATGATGGATTAAAAAAATTAGAATGTAATTGGTACTACTTAAACTGTCTGCATATATATCAGTTGTTTCCTGCACATTATTATATTGTTATTTAATTGAGTTAGGTTGATGGAGTATATAATTAGATAGGACTATATAAATGTTCCAGGGGAAGAAAAAGGCTTTTTTTTTTGACTCAGCACTAAAGGAAATCAATATATTATGGTGAAATCTCTCCTGTTTTGAACTGGGGTTTGACAGGGAAACTTGTGTTACGTTTGAGCTTAATGTTGACTGCTCAGGAGTTCAGCTAAACGTGATTACAGTATGGAAATGTTTGGTTTGTAACTTCAGTATTTTGTCATTGGACACTTTTTCGTGATTTTCATTAAGTATTTCATCATTCGGTTTCCATGGGTTGTGCATTGATCTGTAAAAGGTAGGGAGCAGATTGGCTTGTCCTATACCTGATTGTATATTTTCTAGGGAATAATGCTGGAAGCCTTCCCTTTATTTGACTAAGAATTAGTGAGGAAGATATTACATATTAAAAGGATCCTTATTATCTTTTTGTTGTCTTAAAATTAGGTTGAAGGGTCTGTGCTTTTGAAATGGGAACTATAAAAATAAAATGACAAATATCAAGTCTTGTTAGCAGCTTTAATCCTTTTCCAGTTTAATTTTTTTAGTAATAAGCGCAGATTTCTTATTATGCTTTCTACACATTATAAAAATATATTTCAACTGGATTGTAGAAGCTCTTTTCATGTTGGGTGAAACAACTTTAAAAGATGCAGATGCTTACTTAGCTATTACTTGAGGTCTTTCTGGGCTGAATTGTGTTTTAGAAACACTCAAGGAGCACCGTAGCAAATATGGACCTGTTCTCCAGATGATATTATTTCGAGAACAAAGTGAATTCTGTGCTGTTGATTGCTTTAAGAATAGATATGTGTTGCTCAGATTCAGCAATCCTACCCCTCCTGTTTTATTCTAGTTCAGAAAGCAATCTCCCCACAATGCAGGGGCATGAGAAACGTTTGTGCAATGTTCTTTTTCAGTTCAGGCTCCATACTTTCAGGCCAAAAAAACCCCACAATGTAGTCTTCTGTAGAACCGCCTGTGCCAGTCTTCTGGACATTCATGCAATCACAGCGTCGGTGTAATTGGTTGGTATAATTACTGGACTTCAATTTTGAAGTACCTACTTAAGAGCTAGAAGCACATTGTTCAGATAAAGTATTTTGTCTTGCCTCTCTGTCCAGTTCTGAGCGTTCTATAAACATGGAAAGATTACTCTGGGCTGTAGTTATTTGTAATAAACATGTAAGCACACTGGTGTGGTGTTGGAAAACAGAACTAACCCTGACTTCCTAGCTACACTGTGCTTAAAACTTAGAATAGTGTAAGGCAGGTTTTGTAACTTGGATGGAGGGATGCCGTCTACAAAGGCACAGGTGCTGTTGAAAGCCAGGTGGACTGAAGTGCGATGGTGTCTTTAGTCTCCTGTGAGTAGAAACGTGCTCTCACTGGCTGTCTTGGCTCCCATGCCAGGCCCTTTGATAGGGAAATGAGTATAATCTTACCCCAGGGGGGTTGGAACTAGATGATCTTTGAGGTCCCTTCCAACCCTAACCATTCTATGATTCTATAAGATTTGCAACTTTTATCTAGGAAAAACAAGCCAAAGTGCTGGACTTGTAAATGGAAGAGATATGGTGGGGGTATAAGCCTGTCATTAGTGAATTTAACTGGTGTTGTAATTTAACTTCTGATCTACAGTCTGATCTCTTGATTCAAGTGAACAATTTAATTCAAAAGCCCACTACTTTTCCTGTTTGACCATCTTTTATGGCACATGCTGGGGGTATGTGACATGACATTAAAGATCTTATTTCTGCATTCATTTAATGAGATTTCATATCATAGATGGTCTATTTTGCACGTGTACATTTTCATTGCATTCTCAAAAGCACTGTGTTTTTTCCAATCTATAAGTGAAACACCATTTGAACAGTAATAACTGAAACTTGCAACTGTTTGTTGTGCCTGATTCCAACTGTCTAATAGCTAATTTCAGTGCTGTTTCTGTATGCAGTGTATGACCACGTTTTGATCTGATTGCGAGATGTATTTTACTCATTTCAGACTGTGAAGAAAACTTTAAAATTAACTTGCTATATGATTTATTTATTCACACGTGGATACGCAGTACAGATGGACTACTCTTACCATATAAAGTTAAGAGCAGTGCTTATTTCTGGGATTAGAGCTCAAGACCGACTCTTCAAATTGTACTTTAATGCTGGCAGTGCACTAATAATACATAAATTCCATAGCTTTCGTTTGAGGTGACTTGGAACAGTTATGTATGAAGTCGTGATTGAGACACAGCCTTAGAACATGTGTCCAAAATGGTATGCTCACTGGTCTTTCATATTCTTCTGGAGCAGAACATCTGGACTGCAATCACGTGGCAAGTAGAGGACAGCCAGGGGATCAGGCCCAGTCAATATGGGTTTATGAAAGGCAGGTCCTGCCTGATGAACACTTATCTTCTGTGACAAGGTGACCTGCTTAGTGGGCAAGGGAAGGGCTGTGGGTGTTGACTACCTGGACTTTGGTACAGGCTTCGACACCGTTTCCCACAGCATTCCCCTGGAGAAACTGGCTGCTCATGGCTCAGACAGGCACACTCTTCACTGAGTAAAAAAGTGACTGGATGGCCAGGCCCAAAGATCTGTGAGGAATGGAGTTAAATCCAGTCAGCACCTGGTCACCAGTGGAGTTGGTTGCCCAGGGCTCAGTGCTGGGGCCAGTTGTGTTTAGTGTCTTTGTCCATGACCTGGGCGAGGGGGCTGAGTACACCCCTGATCAGTTTGGGGGTGACACCAAGGTGGCCGGGAGTGCTGATTTCCCTGACTGCGAGTGTGTACCGTAGTAGTTCAGCAAGCCATGCACATTTCACTGCTTTTAGCATCTTTGAAAGACTTTCTGAATATGATTTTTGTTACGTCTCTGGTATGTATGTCCCTTCAAACCTACTGAAGGAGCAGGCTTTTGCGCCATGTGAAATAGGTGCCAAAACCGCTGTTTCACAACTCTCTAAGAAAAGACTCTAAAAAACAAGGGAATGGGCACAAGAACTTCGGTTTCAGGGTAGTGACAGGTAATAAATGATAACTGTTGATGTAGTTTCTCTCTCTTAACTTCATTTCCAGTGTCATAATGGAAGGGCTCGTGGATTTCATGAAAGTAGTTATTTGCCATGACATGAAATGATACAGAATATGAAACTTCTTGAATCCTTCCCCTCAGGAGGAAGTGTTTTGACTATCTACTCACCTCGGACAACTTTGATAACTTTTGTCTTGAAAGCTACATGGAAAAATGCCTTTCCTAAGTAATACAGATGATAGATTTTCCAACATGCCCTGGTAATGATTTGCTGGAGTCTGTTCTACTTGGCTAGCTGGGCTCCATATGGTGTGGCATTTTATCTGTCATTAGCTGGATAACTTATTGCAACCTCTGTATTTCTAAACATCATCATCTGTTTAAAGAAAATCTTTCTAAGCTCTAAATCAGCTTTTAAAAATATGTACACACTGGTGCATGAAGGTGGCTCTCAGTGGTAGGTTATTAGATTGCAGCCTTTAGGTTTTTATGTGGCTTTTTTTGTTGTTGTACTCAGGGTAGGGTCCCTATATAACCATAATTCACTTTACGGTTTAATTGATATTCTGATGAGTCTGAGTGCTTCCCCCCAACGTTGTTTTGTCATGTCTCAGCAGTACATTGCATATATGACAAGCTCTTAGGAAACTTCTTGGAGTAGGCAGTTTTTGCAGAAGAGAACAACAAATTCACCAACAAAAGAGTGAAGTGAAAGAATAATGAAGCACAATATTAGAGAAGAACCCTTTGGGAAACTACACACCAAACGTTATATTAAAATCAATACTGGGGCTTGACCTTTTTGTGCTACTCTGTATTTTAAAGCTTATTATTGATTTCTGCTTTAATTACATGTTTATCCTGGTTTACTGGCAAAGGTCTGGAGAACATTAAAAAAAAATCATTGTCATAGAATGGTTGTTTGGGTTAGAAGGGACCTTAAAGCC